ATCACCCCAGCCCAGTCCGTCATAAACCAAATTATTGATATTTCTTGAAGTGACACACGACCCGAGGAAGGCTACACTTTTTCCTGATTTTTGACACACCAAGCTGAAAAGGTTAGCCATCACTGTACTAGTCCTTCCTAATAGGGTCATTGGAAGAGTATTTTTTTTAAAAAGGGAAGATAATGGTCAGAATTGCAGAATGGACACCTAAAAAAAGGGAAGGATTTGGGGTGCCGTTTTGACTTTTTTTCCCCCCTATCTCTCTTGATGTTCTCCCTATCTCTGACAGCCCTCGGATGCTGAATTAAGTAGAAATGATGCAGGCTGGGAGTTGAATTGTATGATATCTGGCTCTTTTAGCTATTCTTAACATTTATAGGCCAGCTGGAGGCTAAAACTATGGATAGACTCCGTCTTAACCCACTAAGTGATTTGTTTGGGCTTCGCAAGTCATCGTGCGTTTTAAATCATGGTTCTCGGTTAGCACATTTTTATGAATCCAGCCAGTTATAGTTTATTCAATAACTCATGCTTATGGGAGCCATTTAGCAGAGGCTGGGAGGGAAATCCATACTTTTGAACGGAATGAAGTCGAAATGGAGGACGGTGGATGGCAGGTAGGAGGCGGCCATTTTTGAATGGGGCTCCAGCCAAGTAATAAAATAGAAATCCAGGGTCAAAATGTTGTAGCTTAATTCTTTGCCTGTCATGCTATTGTTGTACTTGTGGGGAATTGTGCATACAGGACTGTGAGTTCTAATTCTGCCTTAGCCACGAAAGCTGGTTGGGTAACTGTGGGCCAATCACCAGGAGACGGTGAGCTCTAGTCCCACCTTAGGCATGAAAGCTGGCTGGCTGACTTTGGGCCAGTCCTTCTGTCTCAGCCCAACCCACCTCACAGGGTTGTTGTGGGGAAAATAGGAAAAGCTACTAGGTGTGTTTGCCAGTTTGAGTTGCTTAAAAAAATAATAAAGGTGGGATATAAACAGCCTTCAAGAATCCTGCTTCTGCTTGTCATTCCAGCTGCCATAGAAATGGGTGAGGGAAGATAAATTGGGCTTTGTGGGAGGGGGGAAGAGTGCTGGAGGCTTGAGAGGGTGAACTGAAAAACTTGGGAAAACTTTCTTGACTATGCTTACTTGCTTACTGCATAGCTGTAGCTTCTTATCTATCCAGGCCAAGGTCAACCGTCCTGGCGAGTCAGATGTATGAAACACCACCTGAAGATGCCCCTTATCACATTATACCCATTGCAGATTGGATGGCCAGTTTGAACTATTGGGGGTGGGAACATTGACATAACTTTCTATATATGTGATTTTCGCGCCTATTGCCTCAGATCTTGTATTTTCTTGATGCTACCTTATCAATTCTCAGTAAAAGTCCCTTTCTCTAAAACAATGGAGTCTAAGGTTTTCTTTCTTGGATTTTGAATGGAGCCTCACCTGACACTAACTAATTAACTAGTTAACTAACTAACTAATTAGCACAGCTCTCCTCCTGCAGCGTCTTCAGCCACTTTAGTCCTCTAACACTTGATTTTGCTGGAAGGCAGACCAAGTGCTATGAAGGAGCGGAGTGAAAAGGAGAGAATATCCTCCAAAGTTGGATTTGGAAAGAGGGAGGGGCATTCATTGGGCGGTACAGAAGCGATGGAGGAGTCCCAGAAGCCCTGATGTGTGGCCTGCAGACATCCTTCTTGCAGTTGGGCGAGAGCAGAATTCAGCCAGACAGAAAAATAATTACTGGGGGTGGAGGGTTGATTGGGTGTCCCCATCTTTCTTCTCTATAATAACTGCACAATAATTAGTTTCACAATTTTGCTGCTATACTTTATAATAGCCTCCATTAAAGTTATAGGTTTTTTTTAAAAGGCAGTAATGGCTTACAGAGTAATTAATGAGGATGAACTTTATTGCTACTTTTATTGGGTGGGGGTTTGCCCATTCTTCTCTCTTTATTTCCATCTATCTATCTATCATCTATCTATCTATCTATCTATCTATCTATCTATCTATCTATCTATCTATCTATCTATTTATCATCTATCTATCTATCTATCTATCTATCTATCTATCTATCTATCTATCTATCTATCTATCTATCTATCTATCTCTGTTTCTTTCTTTGCCCCTCTGTTTCTCTCTCCCACTCTCCCTCTTCATCTCTCCTTGTCTCCCTCTCTCCTTCTCTCCCTCTTTTTCCTTCTGTTTCTCTCTCCCTCTTTTTCCTTCTCTGTTTCTCTCTTCCTCTCCCTCCTGTCCTCTTCCTCTCCCTTGTTTCCCTCTCTCCTTCTCTCCCTCTTTTTCTTCTGTTTCTCTGTCCCTCTGTTTCTCTCTCCCTCTCTGTTTCTCTCCCTCTCTGTTTCTCTCTCCCTCCTTTCCTTCTCTGTTTTTTTTCTCCCTCTCCCTCTCTGTTTCTCTCTCCCCCTCTCTCACTCATTCTCCCTCCCTCTCCCCCGCCCTCTCTTTCACACACACACACACACACACAAACACAAACACCTTTTCCAAACTGTTTTCCTCTAACTGAAAATCCTTAGCTGCTCCTTTCCTATAATATTAATCTTCCCACTTTTACTAACAGCCCTCTCCCTCCTGCCAATTTTTTTCATGGAATCCTTGAAGCGCTTTCCTGGCCTCTATAGAGAATAGAATTCTTTATTGACTAAGTGTGATTGGACACAAGGAATTTGTCTTTGGTGCCTAAGCTCTCGGGGTACATCAAAGAAATACATTCATCAAGAATCATAAGGTACCACACTCCGTGATAGTCATAGGCTACTAATAAGCAATCAAATCATACTAGGAAACAATATAAATTGTAAAGATACAAGCAACAAGGTTAGTCATATGTGGGAAGAGATAGGTACTAGGAAGGATGAAAAGAATAATAGTAATACATGTACTCACATAAAAGTAATACCTGTATTCACATACAGTGTCATCATACACTGTCCCCCTGTATGTGAATACACACACACACACACACACACACACATTCCCCCACCCCCCAGTTGTCTGCATTGTCAATTGCCTGTCGACATCTCTTTCTTGGTCTCCCGTGATCCAGCCCAACTTCTCTCTCGGATCTGCAAATTATCCACTCCGGACATTGCCACTGAAGTGATGTATACCGCTTGCCAAGATAACGCCCTTGATAAAATACGGCCCGTTTAAATCTTATCTGGGTTCCTATTAGGATCTGAGCTAAACCTTTTGTGTCAACTTAATATACTCCCAGCCTTGAACTTCTTTTGGCAGGACAAGCAGGCGGAGGAGGAAAGAGATGGCACTACAATCTGGAGATAATCTTAAGATTTCTTCTGGTGGAAATCAAACAGGACAAAATGGGTGCTCCATCACTGGAGGTTTTTAGGAAGGGACTGGAACGCCATTTGTTTGGGATGGTATAGGGTCTCCTGATTCAGTAGGGGGTTGGACTAGAAGACCTCCAAGGTCCCTTCCAATGCTGATCTTCTGCTATTCTTCTCTGCGGTACAAATGTGGAACGGGCACTGGGGCCATCCGTCCTTTGGTGTCTACCCTTTTTGTGTGTGTTGCTTTGCAGGCATCCTTCCAGAAGGGATCCTGAAGTCCTGGCCAGTGATATCACCCAGAGGAGCATCTTCCCTGCTGGGGACAACCTGGCCTCTCCTCGGTGGCAGCTGCTGCCTCTGCAAACCTGCTTGTGCAATGGGTGGGTTGTGAGCGCTTGGTAAGACTTGTGAGCCTCGCGGCCTTTGCACTGCCTTCTGATCCCTTCTTGCTTTGATCTCCATGTGGTCTCCTGTTCTGTCTCTGGGGTTTCTGCTGTCAGGTAATGAGGAGCTGTGGGTCCCATCAGCCTTGGAGATGCCGAAGCGACGAGACATCTTGGCGATTGTGCTGATTGTGCTTCCCTGGACGCTGCTTATCACCGTCTGGCATCAGAGCGCCATTGCTCCCCTGCTGGCAGTGCATAAGGGTGAGGAGAAAGGCCAGGCCAGCTCTGACCATCACTGGCCCCATCATCCACAACCACCACCACAACTCATCATCAAACTTCCCACTGTTGTATTCATTTCACCACCTGGTCTCTCATGCCTTCCAAGATTCTGAACCCGAAACATCTTAGGGAATAAAAACCTTGTTTCTTATTTAGTTTCTTATTTAGAAAATCCAGAGTGAATACTGAAATTTCTTTATTGGCTATGAACAAAAATCCATCTTACCCAACAGCTTGTGGCTGATGAAGAAGTTTCTATCAGTTCAGTAGGAGTTCAGCTATGGTTCTTCAAGAAGTAAGATGAAGGCAAGGCCTCCTGGAAGGATGGAGGTCAGCAGAGAAAGAACTGTCTCTTCCGGAATGGCCTTTCAAAATAAATTTCAACAACAACAACAACAACAACAACAACAATAATAATAATAATAGTAATAATAGTAATAGTAATAGTAATAGGCATTGACAAATTTGCCATCAGTCAGTTGCAGAAGGCAGCTTGACTTGAAACAGCTTCCATCCTGCAGCGATCTCTGTAACACCATCAAATACTCAGATTTTGCCTATCCCAGGTCCTTGGTAAGGACTCGATAGGTAGACAAAAATGCCAAACCCAGTCTGAACATCTGGCTGACTGTGCAATGAATAGTAGTAGTAGTAATAATAATAATAACAACAACAACAACGCTGGCAGCAACCATTAGCACCAGTCACTGGTATTTGTGATATCTTTTTAAATGTACAGTTGACTAAGTTTCATATTTAATTAATAAAAGAGATAATAATAATAATAATAATATTTTTTTAAAAAAATTAAATATGGAAGGTTTCATATTTTCTTCATGAGTTCTGAGATGATTTCTTGCCCAGAAGAAGAGGCAGGACTTTATTTAAATTTGCAGCTAGCTAACTTATGAAAACCCATAAAATTATATTGCGACCTATTTCTTTGTTCATTTTACAACACCCAACACATGTTCAAACATACAGCACCCATTTCAATAAAGATCCCAAGATTACTATTTTCTCTAAATCAGATTAATGGGATCCAGTATTCTGTTTCCTATCATGGCTAACCCTGCAAGCTTCCAAAGAGGCTGCAGTCAAGTTTAACACCCTTTAAGGATCATGCACAGAAACTTACTATGTTGTATCCCTAGATGGTCCTCTTGCTTACAAGCTATGGATAGGCTGGGTTTACACATTGTGCTAAGCAAAATATGGCTTGTTTAGTGAGATGTGTGAATACAGCCAATCATAGCTTATTCAACCAAGCATAGTACAGGAAAAGCTTACAAAATGTCATGTTTTGACATTGGACAAGCACATTTTCTTCATTGCATCCTCTTCCCTCTATTATCTTATGCATCAGGTTTAGAGTTCCATCTACCTACAGTTCTTTTTCCAACTACTAGATAAATATGGACCCACACAATATAAAAATAATACCTTCTTTCCTCTGGTGTCTTAAGCCCTGAGTTTTAGAGATTCAGGATCTACTCGGTAATCTTCCATGAAGGACAACAGGATTGACCTTGTTCTTTCAATTCCTGAGCCAACACAACACACCAGGATCGAAGAAGGTACCAGTTTTCAAAAAAAAAAAAAAAGGCCCTAAATCCATTCCTTACAGTATGGAAAAATTTGTACAGGAGCAGGTGAAGCTTGGCTGATAAACCCCAAGGAAGCACTAATATTTAAGTGTAAAATTGTTTTCCTGGAACCCCGAGGAGTCATATCTTGGTCTTTTTTGATTACCTTGAATCAAAAATTGGTAGGTTGACTGATGTTCAGATCAAAAGTGTCCCATGAATCATTTCATCATTTCTGTTATGTCCATGGGTAGGAATAAACGGATTGTCTGGATGTGCTTTTGAAAACTCTGTTTGACCTTTAAAAGTGTACGGTTTTATTCATACATCTTTATAAGAAGATTTCTATATCTTTTACAAACAACCTTTCATTTGGGGTATGTCGCACATTAGCTAATTCTTTGCAACTACAAGGCTGTTCCATTTTTTTTTCATTTCTCCTTTGAAGAATTAGAGACAAGGATGATATCAATACTGTATTTATTAAACTGGTAAAGGCCAATTTCCACACGTAGGATATTGCTATCCATGGTGCTGAAGTCAAAATCTCTAACTTTGACATTAAAACTTTTCGATTTCTTGTCTCCTAGGCCGGTTTCAACGAGTTGCCTTTTTAAAATCTTTTTATAAAGAGCAGAGGTCTCCAAACTTGGCAACTTTAAGACTTGTGGACTTCAACTCCCAGAATTCCTAAGCTAGCCACAAGTCTTCAAGTTGCCAATGTCAACTCATAAAATATTCCTATGCCTGTTTTAGTAGTTGCCATAAAAAAGGGGCAGGGGGAGGAAGGAAATCTGGAAGAGCAGTACAGTAGTTTGAAAGCAGAAGTACATTCCAACTCTTATCTTTAAAAGATTGTAACTAAAATACCAGAGCTTTTGCCCATGAATATATTTAATTGGAGAATGTGAATGATGACACCCAGCCCGTGAATATGCTCAATTGGAGAATCTGGTTTATGAGACACCCAGGGAAGAGGGGGGAAACAGAGTCACGGGAGACTGTAAATTACATATGCCAGAGTTGGCTTCATACAGGGCAGTACTAGTATGCTGCCTCTAATAAATCCTTTGAATTTTTTTGAAGTTTGGCTTGAGAATCATGATTTAATTAGGGCAATTGCTGGAATCCTGACAGCCAAGTTTGGAGACCCCTGATACAGAGCCCATTCTATTTTCCAATCCATATCAGATGGGTGTCAGTGCCAGCAGACAACCTCACCACTCAATGCCTGTTTCCTCAGCCTTCTTTATTTTTCATTCTTTCACTTCACCCAGGCAGCCAGTTTGCAAATTGTTGGTTTCCTATTGCAGTAGATCGGTAGATTTTTTTGATACCATTAAGAGAATCAGTTGGCTGGGAGAGATGAGATGACTGCTTTGTTTCTCATCACAGTAGGCGAAAAAAGGCAAACTTTCCCTGGGGGGGATCCCTTTTGCAGACACAGATCATGTTTTTGAGTCCATGTAATACTTAGTGAATGCCACTGGGCTGTGTTTCTGAAAGCTCCGGATTATTCTCGCCTCCCTAAAGAATTGTGAGAAGTATAATAATAATAATGGAGGTGCACTTCAGCTGACCCTACATCAGATCCTTATCAAATACCCAGTCACCAAGATTTCCTGCTAGGAAAGGCAAGTGCGTTTCTTCAGTTTTATTGTCTGGGAAAAAGATGCCCAACTGATACCACCCATTGGCAATTTTTTTTTTTAAGAGCGGACCACAACAACGAAGAAGGAGCAGAGCAAGATTTCCATTCAATTCATTAGCTTTAATTAGAATTGTGTTTGCTTGCTAAAATACACTTAATATGATTATTCCCTGGCTGTGGATGCCTTGCTTATGGAATTAACAAGTTTTCTACAATACTCTGACTCATAAACTAATCAGACTGCATATACGCAATAGGTTGAACCATCCCAAAATTAAATCTAATCAGCTTTGGTAATGTTAGATGAATGAAGTTGCTCAATCTTGATCTAATCTGGGGATGTAACTTGCCTATGTGGATGCAATTCCCACAGACGCTGTCACATTCCTCATTCCATCATACAGACAGTCCTTGACTCATGACTGAGCCTCAAATTTCTATTGCTAAGCGAGACATTTGATAAATGAGCTTTGCCCCATTTTATGACCATTTTTGCCACAGTTGTTAAGTGAATTGGACTTCCCCATTGACTTTGCTTGTCAGAAGGTTGCAAAAGGTGATCTTATGATCCCAAAACACTGCAACCGTCATAAATATGAGTCAGTCCAAGCGTCTAAATTTTGATTACATGCCCATAGGGATGCTGAAACGCTTGTAAGTGGGGAAACTGATCATTAGTCACTTTTTCCAGTGCTGTGGTAACTTTGAACGGTCACTAAATGAATTATTGTAAATTGAAGACCACCTGTATTAAATATTGTGAATTATGCTGGGAAGAAACTCCCAGGGCCATTTATAATCTTCGATGTTGTACTTCTCAACTAGCAGATCAACATAAGCAATGGAAATTTAATGTCACTGTTCATTTTTTGTTTTTACGACCCTGTAATCCCTTGATTCGGGATGGAGTCAGGGTGACTGAATGAAGCTGAGATTTCACTGGCCAGATGCCCTTCCTGACACATTTGTGGAAGCTCACAGCAGATATTTTCCCTTTGCGCCCTGGTAGAGAAACATCTGCCGCTGCCTAGGATTGAACTATCAACCTTCCAAGCGGGAGGCAAGAGTCTTCACCACATTGCTGTAACGCCACCGTTCCTTGAGCCCCTTTAGATAAATGAATGCTATCCTGGTGCATTTGTGTTTTCCCCTTTCTTTGTTCCCCTAGGTGCTACTGCCAATTTGCTATCCTTAGTTCAAGACTGACAATGCTTGCCTACTTCTATTTCTTTTATAAAAAATATAAGCAGGACAAAAGGGGTGTTAGCTGAAAAGAATTGTGTTGATGAAGTTGCTTTGCTCCTTTCAAAATGCAGCACTCCAATCTGATGAAGTTTCTGGAGAAATAATTATATTTTGCACCCATACACCCCCAAGCTTGATTATTTGCAAATAGACTCAAAAGGAAACGTACGATGTATTTTTTTCAGGGATGGGGGGGGGGGAGATCTGAGCTGAAGGAGAGCACAGAGTTGAAGTATAAAATATACGCTTATATAATCTGATGTAATCCCAGTCACGTTCAGGATTTCAAGTAAACAAGCTGGAGAATCAATAAAATGAATCAATGAAACAAAATAAGGGTAGAGCAATTTCACAAACTGCTTTCTCCTGAAATTACTTTGTCAGTTTTACAGAACTGAGGTTGAATTACTCACACTGGCAGTCCACACACTGGTTGCACCTCCATTTTGGGCTGGAACTTCTAGTACCTTTTAATCTTCCAAAACTATCTTCACTGATCCAAAGCACCTTCCTTAAAATACTATGAAAGCCAGTAGGGTCTGGTGGTTAACAGGCCTAGAAACTAGGAAATGGGGAGTTCTAGTCCTATCTTAGGCATGAAAGTGGGCTGGGTGACTTTGGACCAATCACCAGGAGACTGGGAATTCTAGTCCTGCCTTAGGCATGAAAGCCAGCTAGGTGACTCTGGACCGATCTCTCAGCCCAACTCACCTCACAAGGTTGTTGTTGCAGGGAAAATAGGAGGAAGAAAAGGTAGTAGATAAGTTTCCTGACTTGAATTATTCATTAAAAAAATAAAGATGGGATAAATATCTAAAAAAATATACACCAGGGATCTCCAAAGACCATGTTTCTTAGGGTAGAAACATTACCTTATTGTTCTGGATAGTTACTCTATGCAGGAATAACCAACCAGGATCTCTGTCATTCAACTTGGTGCCCTTCAGATGTTTCCAGCTTCAACTCTCATCGTCTTCAGTTTTTGAAGCCAACCATTCCAAATTCAAAGCATTTGGAATGGCACCGAAGGTTCTTCATCCTTGCAGTAACCATTTCACCCTGATCCATTTGATTCCATTCAGCTTTACCATTGTTTTCTCAGCCAGTTGACTTGATTATTATAGTTTTCCCCCACAAAGAAGTTTTTTACTCCAAATACAAATTATGGATGATGATGATTTATAGAGACGCATCAGCATCTACAGCTTTTGCCACAAAGTCTTACCCCAAAGAACCGATAGTTGAATACAAGGACACGAAGGAGAACCAAGGAGCTTCAGGATTAGAAGATGCTTTGAGTCTTATTATCAGATGCAGAATTGAGAGTGACTTAAGGCATAGGGGAAGATGGTGTGCAATCAAATATCTGCCCGCTTTCCATCCTGTACGTCTGGTGGCTTCTGCTCTTCTGCTTGTTTTCTATTCCTCCTTCTTGATCCTTGGCAAGAGGAGATGTTTATCTGTTTGTTGCTTCAGCTCTTCTTCTCTTGTTCCTTCTCTACTACAGAGGATGGTGGGGACACACGTCGTGACTTCTCTCAAGGTTCGGACTCTAAGGAGTATTGCTTATCTGACCGTGACATTGTGGAGGTGGTTAGGACAGAATACGTCTACACCCGCCCACCTCCTTGGTCGGACGCCTTGCCCACTATCCATGTGGTCACTCCTACTTACAGCCGGCCAGTCCAAAAGGCGGAGCTGACACGGTTGTCCAACACCTTTTTGCACGTTCCAAACTTGCATTGGATCTTGGTGGAGGACTCTCAACGTCGGACTGCTCTGGTCACTCGGCTTTTGCGAGACACCGGGCTGAACTACACCCACCTCAATGTAGAGACCCCACGCAACTACAAGCTGAGAGGGGACATGCGGGACCCCCGGATTCCTCGGGGAACCATGCAAAGGAACCTGGCCCTACGGTGGCTGAGGGAGACATTTAATAGAAACAACAGCCAACCAGGGATTGTTTACTTTGCAGATGACGATAACACCTATAGCCTGGAACTTTTTGAGGAGGTAAGATGTTTGTAGGCCACTCAGTCAACTAGGTTAAGTTGCTAATGCTGGCCTGCAATGGATCATGTCCCTCCATTAGGAAGCCTTTGGTGGACCTTCTCCACCAATATGAGATGGTGCAGAAGAGATTGAAGGTAAGTGAAAATACCACACTCACTTCTGGGTCTTTAGTTTTA